TCCTCTGTCCCTTGCTGGGACTGCCCATTGGTCTCACTTAAGTGTGGCTCCTGAAGGGTCCCTGGCTTCCTCTTGGGCACTACTATGAAAGTGTTGCTACCTCGGTTCAGGAGCTCTGAGGTGTGTCCAGGCCTGGCAGGGTGCAGGTGGTACTGGGAAGGCACACCAACTGCTGAGGAGGGCAGTTTGGCTTCTTGAAAGGCCTCCTCCTCTGAGTCTACTTCATCAATGAAGGTGACTGGAAGTCCTGGCCTCACAGGCTCCTGGCCCTTCTTGGCCAAGCCTGGAACCCCTAAGCCTTCAGCTGGCTCAGCTTCAACAGTGGCTGGTAGAAATGGAGGTGGTGAGGCTGGCCTCTGCCACCTAAGAGACTTGTCTGTGTCAGAAATGGCTGGCCTGGGGCAGCCCCCCTCCCTAACTGCCCACTGCGTCTCACCAGCCAAGGGACTCTTCTCTAGGGCAGGTGCACCATCCACTGTAGATACCAGCTGGGATCCAAGCCCCTGGCTCTGAGAGGCCCAGCCCACCTCCCACTTTGGCTCCTCCAATTGCCTCCCCGCCAAACGATGGTTCCCAGGGGCTTTGCGCTTGGGGATCAACACGAAGGAGTTGCGGGAGTTCACTCGGAGGTTGGCCAGGGCCCTGGCCTGAAGGTCCCCGATTGGGATAGTTTCCATGTCTGGCTTGGAGGATGGCCTTATTTCGAAGGAGTCATTGGCGCTGGTGGCAGAGGAGACCCACTGGCGCTGACTGGGAGTGGCACTGGCTGGGCTGGGCGCCGGGAAGGCAGGGGGCCCAACTGGAGTGGCACTTGGGGGCGGGTGGAGGGGGGGTTCCTTTGACTCCACCTTTGGCTTCCACTTGCCCGGTACAGGCGGAGACCCCGACAACCCATTGGCAGGGCCGGCAGGGGATTCCTGAGTCATGGCTCCATTAGAAATCGAGCGATTGACCGCACTGCGGGGCAGGCCCCGAGGGTGGACAGTGAAGGAGTTGCTGCCGGTCTTCTGTAGGAAGTCGCTGCGCCGGGCCCCAGGGCCGGCAGTGCCGTCGGGGTGCGCGGGCTCGCAACAGGCAGAGGAGCGCTGACCCGCGCGCTGGGCAACGGGGACAGGCGAAATAGGGGGTGCAGGCTGGCTGGGGAGCACCGGTGGAGCAGGAGCCAACGACCGATTGGTAGGAGCGCGCGTGGCAGCAGATGCAGACGCCACGGGAAGCTGCGGGAGCGCAGGGCGGAAGCGCTCTGGGCTCCCGCGGTGGCGGGGCGCAGCAGGCGAGTCGAACTTTTCCAGAAGGCGGCTGACACGGCCAGGCTGTGGCGCCTCGTACACCACTACCTCGGCAGCGCGGATGCCTGCAGCGGGCGGCACAGCGGTCGGGAAGCCTGGCGCTGACTCGATAATGAGGATGTTGTCGGCTCGAATGGTCCGCACACCGGGCACGCGACAGTACAGCTCCAGCAGCTGCTGAGCAGGCCGCGTCCCGCGCCGCCGCTCCGATTCAAGTCGCATGAACGGGTTCTGGCTTAGCGGACCCAGACTCTCGGCCAGCACCAACCGCTCGTTAGGCCCATCCGGCGCCGCTCCAGATCCCGGGCCTCCACTCAGGGCGGCCAGTTTAGCTCGCCTCCGCTCAAGGACCTCCCGTTTCCAGGCGGGCATCACAGCTCGCGGCCCCGGGTCAAGCCGCCCCAGGCCGGCCATGCTGCGGACGCGCGGACGCCGACCGGACTGCACGCCGACCGCGCGCGGTATAGACTCTTGGCTACCTGCCTCAGTACCGCTCCGTGCCACGCCCCCCTTGGTAGCCGCCAATTGGGCAAGCGCGCTCGGACCTAAGGGCAGAACTGCCTACCTAAAGCAGAAGCATACGGCCCAGTTCACTGGAGAATATCCACTAAAACCCTCCCCTTTAGCGTTCTCATTGGACTACGACCGGCACCAGCCAGACCCTATTGGTGAAGGTCTGTGGCCACTCCCCAGTGAAGCGCTGCTCAGTGGCTGCTCCTCACTTCCGCCTCTGCGCTCTGGACCCGGCGCCTTGGACCCCAATTAAAGTAGGGCTGGTACTTTAAAGCAGGTAGCTCGTAGCGGACCCTTGCGACCTAGGTGACCTTGGCACAGTTCTGACTTTAGTACACAAGCCGTCCACCTTTAGGTCCAGGCTCCAATCTGGAGTCCTTGAATTGCTGTGGGGAGGCAGCCAAGGTCCCCTTTTGGACCTAGAAATGCTGCTTCTGAGATCCACCCGGGCATAAAGAATGCGTTTTTTGAGAATCTTGGTTTTGTAGGTCCCAGACCTACTATGTGTGTGAATATCTGGTGCACAGCTTGCCACCCATGGTCCTGCCGGGTATCCATTCTGTGTAGGAGGCACCAAGGAAGCAGCCTTGTTTCTGCACGCACACAGGTTACACATAAAAACATAGCCTCACACATTTAGGCAGTTCTGTCATGCAGAAAAGTACAACAAGGGTAAAGGTCCCACTGACTCCTGTTGGAACACCCACTTCCAAGATAAAAGAGGAAATACACAAAACAAAAATTTAAGAAATGTTACAAGGAAAACCACTCCAAAGTTCAGCTTGTATCTTGCTTTGAGAAAAAAAAAATAGCCCAATCCTGGATTAGAGACATTTTTTTTCCTAGCTGGGGGCAAACCAGACAAGTCAGCCTTTGACGCATTTCCTCAGTGTGTGACATGCCTGGCTCTTCGTGCCCAGCAGAGGAGGCATGGGCTGCTGTGCTGGAGCACAGACCAGCATACCTGCTCTGCAAAGGACCACACTAAGTTATTAACCTAGGGAACATGGCAATGTCATGATGTCTGGTTATTACAAACGAAGACTGCTACAGACATCCAGTCTTTAAGAACCAGGCACACTACTAACCTTCTTCATCCAAAAGAAATGGCCCAGGGACTGGTGTGGTGTTAAGAACATCGAAGGAGGACCTGGATTTGGCTCCTAGAGCCTGGATGGCTGTGACTTGTTCCTGGGGATCCAACGCCCTCTGCTGGCCTCCATGGACATTGCACATGTGCTGCTCAGCCACACTTTTTAAAAAAACGAATGACCTAGTCAGCAGGGCAGTGGTGGCGCCCGCCTTTAATCCCAGCATTTGGGAGGCAGAGACAGGCAGATTTCTGAGTTCGAGGCCAGCCTGGTCTACAAAGGAGTTCCAGGACAGGCAGAGCTGTTGTTACACAGAGAAACTATTCTCAAAAAACAAAACATAAGAATGATCCTACTAAAATAGCTACGCATATTGAGGAAACTGTATTCTGCAGGTCACATTTGACCTGTCAACTATTAACTTTTGTTATTGTTCCTTTAGACTTTCTTCTGTCTCCCTGTCCCCCCTCCCTCTGTCTCTCTCTCAGGCTGGGTCTCACAGCGCAGGCTGGCTTCCAGCTATGCTGCCAACAACGACAATGTAGTTTTGATCCTCCTGCCTCCACCTCCTCTTAAAATAAGATTACAGGTAAACACTTGATCAACAAAGTTATAATCAAATGTCCCTTTTCTTTCTTTTTTTTTTTTCAGCTACTCCAGGAAACAGTGTGGCATCCTGTTTTAAATCCTTTTAAAGTGTAAAATTTAGAGCTTATGAGATGGCCCAGCAGGTAGAGGTGCTTGCAAGCAGGCCCATGCTACCTGAGTTTGCTCCCTGATATCACCAGGCTGACAGAAATAATTTGCATAAATGGTATGATATCCATACACCTGCATTCACACACACACACACACAGAGATAATAATGTAAAAACCATAATGTATTTCAGTTGGTAGGATGCTTGCCCAAGCCAGATGTGGTGGTGCATGCCTTTAATCCTAGCTCTTGGGAGGCCAGGAATTAGAGGGCTGTTCTACAGAGTGAGTGCTAGTCCAGTGCAGGTTACATAGTGAGTTCCTGTAGCAGCAGCAGCAGCAGCAGCAGTAATGGTTGTCTAATATGCATGATGGCCTGGGTTTGATTTCCAGAATCACATAAAACAGGAAGTTAAAGGTCATCACTGATTACAAAGTGAGTCTGAGGCAAGTCTTTGCTGCACAACACCCTATTTTTAAAAAATGTAAAAGCTGTCCTCAGACCTGGCCTCAGACGATCACCTGTCATCTCAACTCTGCAGTGTTGTCATCAGAACTCACCAACTGCTACTCACTAATGCGTCAGGGCTCTGCTGTCACACACTCTACAAAGAACAGCCCACTGTTTTTAGCTGGGGTGGGTAGTAGTGCAAGTTACCCATCTCCTACAAGAAGAATTGGGGATTTTCCAAAAAATAATCTAACACTCAAAGTACTCTAGCCATAACCACAACCCTATGACCCCCTGTCCACATGGCAAGCAGCATCTTAGCATTCATCTGATGCAAACACTGAGATGCCTAAGTATATAGTGTTAATTTCAGGAAACATTTTTTTCAGCAAATGGTCTCATTTGGCACATGACTGTCATAAACTCAAAGACCTTAAGCTAATAGACTTCACCTGTTCACAAGCTCATATGTATATGCATCCACTTCCATGAGCATGTGAGCATCTGTTCCAAATGTCTATGCTTCCTTTTCTAGGTCTGTCTGTCTGCCTCAAGTGTACTAATGACACCTGCCACAAGGCGGTGGGAAAGTCCATGAAACTGCAGTCTGTTGGGCCAGGAAATCAAGCAATTCTTGAGACCAGAATTTTTTTCTCAGATGGCAGATGCCCACACAGGGTCCTATTCCTGCTCTTTGTCAACAGTCTGCTCTCTCTATGTGAGGTGGAATGAACAAAAGGCTAGTCTTTGTCAGGACAGAGGAAAAGGGATGCCAATCGTGTAAGTAAGTCTGGCCTGGACAAATGAAGGGGTGTATTCTGCCGTCAGTGCTGCTGTGAACAACCTGATTTATAAAAGGGTACATCACCATGGGAAATACTCAGAGCCTATCAGGATATTTTACTTATGTGAAGTCTCCAAATGTTGGGAAAGTTCAGTATTGACTGTCAATTAGAGCATGAATAACTGGAAATAAGTTTTAATAAACGAGGCTTCACTTTTAAGTTTTGCTCGAGGAAACGATCTTAGATACAAAGAAAACTGGACAGTAAACTGGGTACAAGCAGACACTGATTTCTGACCAAAACTCCACCAGTGTGGCACCAAGTAGGGTCTGGACTGGGAGGTCCAGAACTCCAGCTGCGCAGTGCTGCATTTCCAACCACCGCAGGAGGCTAGTTGACGCGACACGCCCGGATCATAAGAAGCTGCAGGAGAATGAAGACCGGAGAAGTGATCAGGCCGAACCAGAGCTCTCGAGTCTGCTCCACTAGCTTCTGACACAGCAGCATCTCAAAAACAAACTTGAGACTAAGGACGGTGAGAACCCAGAAGAGGCGCAGTACAGCCAGTCGCTTCTCTCCATCTTGGAAGAGACGAACGGAAACGATGGTGGTGAAGTAGGTGCTGAGCCCGTCGGCGGCGAAAAAGGGCACAAAGACGTTCCACCAGGAGAGGCCTGGAGCCAGGCCATCCACTCGCAGTGCCAACAACACGGAGAACACCAATAGGGCCAGCAGGTGCACGAATATCTCAAAGGTGGCGAAGCCCAGCCACTGCACCAGCTCCCGCAACGAGAATAACATCGTGCCTGTTTAATAATACCGGTCTCCGGTGCCCCGCACCGGGCCGTGACGTCTCCGGCCGCGGACCTGGCGACTGCCTGCTACCGCCGCTGCACACGCAAAGCAGCAAGCAGCCCAACCTGGCCTGGACGCCGGCCCTGGGGCTCCGCGGCCCTTAGGAACCCAACCCCGGACCTGGAACGGGATGCTAGAAGAAGCCCGTAAGGTCCAGATGCTACGCCTGTCCGTTCCCGCTGGCGCGGCCGAAACGCGTCATTTCCTGTTGACAGCGGAAAGGGGAAGTTAGTGGAGTGTGCGGTTCAGACCGGCGTGTGCAGTAATGCAGGTTCCACAGCTCCTGGTGCTTTTTGGCAGCCAGACTGGCACAGCCCAGGACGAGGCGGAGAGGCTGGGCCGCGAGGCCCGGCGCCGGCGGCTGGGTTGCCGCGTGCAGGCTTTAGACTCTTACTCCGTGGTGAGACTCGGGCGCTACGGCGGAGACCCTCCTCCGGACTTCGCGTCCTCTAGCGGAGGACGTTTGAGTGCAGCCCTTTGGGGCCCAAGTGGATTTACCGAAAAGGGAGGCACGAAGCTTAAGCCTGAGAAAGAGAAGGCCGGGTAGCCATTGGGAATAATTGTCCAAACACTTTTACTCTGTTACCCTAGGTGAAGATGGTGGTGGGATGCGGTGCAGGGAGGGCACTGATCTGGGCTGACAGAGACCTTACACCTACCTTTGTCTTGTCCTTGAGGCGAATCTCATTAGGGAGCCCCTGGTGATATTTGTTTGTGCGACCACAGGCCAAGGAGACCCTCCTGACAACATGAAGGTAAGGCTGTTTTCATTACTATATAAGAGTCCCAGTGTGCACAGAAATAGCTTCCCTTCAAAGCATGTTGTCTGTGAGAGGTGCCTTTGAGAAATATTATTTGTGTAGATCTGAGGAGAGAAATAGGTCTGAGTAACTACTCAGTAGCCTTGACCATTTTGTTTACCAGACGGCCGTGAGTCTAGTGTGAGTGATGTGTTGAAGTCCGAGCTTGGTAACACTCGGGGACCATTCTTCAATTCACTCTCTTTTTTCAAGCACATATTCCTGGCCATCTGGGTCACAACAGCCACACTTTGCCTTTATGGAGTTCAGTGGCCAAAACAACAGATTTAATGGTCAGTTACCAGGAAACCCCTGGTGCTAGGGAAAATGCCAGATGTTCAGGGAGTGAAGGGGGTACTGAAATTGGACACAAGTTTTTGGAAGCATGCCTTTAGCTCTTGGGAAGCAGATGGAGCTAGCCAGGGCTACATAGGGAGACCCTGTCTCCAAAATAAATTAATAAAAGTCAGGGGCAGATGATGGTGGGATGCAGCCTGTGTGAAGGGCAGAAAGTTAAGGATTCCCCAGCCATGAACTGTGCTGACAGAAAAGAGAAAGAAAAAAAGGTTGATTCAAAAAACCAGGGGAGCTACAGTGAAACATGTCGGCTTAAGATGAAAGCTATAGGAACTATGGACGTGACACAGTGACACTGCAGTGTACCGAGACCACTGCCTATCTGAAGGTGGCAAGATAATGCTAGGGAATATATCACATAAGCAGAAGGTGCGCATGTGCTCTGAGCTGGGTGGTAGCTCGAGGCTGAGTAAACCAGGCACATTCCAGAGAGACCAAAAAGGTAAAGTCAACAGGATGTGTAATCAGGGGTCTGGAAGATGAGGGACAGAATCACAACACAGGAAGCAGGATCCATAGTAATTCCACCTGTGGAATGAGAGGACCAGGTAGGGCAGGTGCCAGGAGGTACCTAGAGGAGCTACAGTTAGCTGTGCAGGACTAGGAAGGTCTTGGCACAATCTCACTGTTGAAGTACCCAAAATAAAACTGAAAAAACAAAGCCCCCTATCCTTCAAGCCTGCCATCTAGCATGGGCAGGGTCAGTCAGGAGGAGCTCCCTTTCCCAAGATCAGTGATAGGGTGGAAGGCTTTAGAGGCATCCCTGGGATCAGTAGTGACTGCTAAGGAGAGCAGTCTGTGGGGGCAGACACTGAGCTCCAGCACTAGAGAAGATGAAGTAGGATCAGGAGTTCAAGGCTGCCCTCATGTTAAGAAACTATATCAGCCAAGTATAGTGTTATACATCTGTAATTTCAGCCCTCCAGAGGCTAAACCTGAAGGACCAAGAGTTTGGAGCCAGCCTCAAACTAGTGTCAACCAAAAGCATGACTCAAAAATAAATAACTTGTCAGGCAGTGGTGGCACACTTGGAGTCAAAGGCAGGTGGATCTCTGTGAGTTGGAGGCCAGCCTGGCTTACAGAGGGAGTTCCAGAACAGCCACGGCTACAGAATGAAATCCTATCTCAAAATAAAAATAAGGGGACAAGGAGGTGAGTGAATAGGGACCCTCCCTCAGGTTTGAGGTGTGGTGGTCTGTGGATGGGTCACAGCAGCAAGAGTCAGAAGTTACTGTCTCAATCACAACAGAAACTGAAGTCCTTTGAAGAGGCTACAGACCCAGCATCCCAAAACACATGCAGGAGTATGGTTCCTCGTGTCTGCAGGACAGGAAGGCCTTAGCCTTGGCCTCTGCCCTAATCCTCTTCTAAAACACATTGTAATTATAGGAAAAAATCCAATAACTAGGTCTCTGCTTATCCCTTTCTGGTGAAATGTACTGTGACAGGCATGTCCCAGAGCTTTTCCATCAGCTTTCCAAGAGCTTCTTAAGTACAAATAGGAGAGAGAGAGAGAAGAGAGAGAGAGGAGAGAGAGAGAATGAGAATATGAGAATGAGAATGAGTGAGTATGTCTGCTGGAGTGAAGACTATAGGGAAAGGCGGAGACAAACAGAACCCAGAATTGAGTGTGGATGCAGCACTCATGGGCTGAGACCAGGACCCAAGTAGGACACAGAGAAGTAGGGAAGCAGGAAAAAATCTGCAGAGTATTAGAAGATATTGCTGAGCAGTTCTCCCAAGAAGTGTAACAGAGAAACTGGACGGTGGAGGAAAACAGTCAACAGAGCTTAAAGATCACATGAGGCATGATGTGACAGAATGATGGAGGGGTAGGCAAGCACTTAGTAAAGATAGTAACAGTGTCACACAGCTGGGTGGTGGTGGCACAGCCTTTAATCTCATCACTCCAGAGGCAGATGGATCTCTTGAGTTCAAGGCCAGCCTGGTCTACAGAGAGAGCTCCCGGATGGCCAGGGCTACACAGAGAGACCTTGTCTACAAACAAATAAACAATGTCACATAATGGAAGGACAAAACTGCAGCCTGAGACAGTGACCACATGCTTGCAAAGGGGCACCCACAGAGGATGGGTTTAACTATTGGGGATAATAATCAGCGTGGCCTGATGGCTGACAGGCCAGAGGGCAACAAGCTATAGTTAATAAACTGGAAGGGTCAATATAAACCCATAATCTGAGGTTTATGAGTTAGTGAGTCGACACCATCAGACATCAGAGCCCAGCCCGTCTCCCTTTTTTACCCAGAGGACTTGAGCGAGAACTTATGGCTGGCCCATCCCTCCTGCAGTGGACTGGCTGGTCCACCACTATAGTAGTAGAAAAGCAGGTGGAGGGTGGTAAGTGAGTTCACCCCTAGGTCAGAATAGGAAGGGTACTTCGTTGAGTATACTGTAAGAGGGCATCACGCTGTCCTAGTAATTAGATGGGGCACTGAGCTACAGGTCGACATATATAAGAAATACGCAGTTTGGATGAGTTTTCTTGTGTTCAGGTTCCTGATCTGTAATTTTGTACCACATGAAGGAGAAATGTCCAGATTGGCCAGTGTACGGTTCTGGGCCCTAATGGTCTTTCTTCCACACCATTGTCTCCTTGCTGGGACCTCAGACAGAAAACTGGCCTGTGCTGTGGTCCTAACTCAGTTTCTTGTGGCTACAGAACTTCTGGAGATTCATATTCCGGAGGAGCCTGCCACCCACCTCCCTCTGTCAAATGGATTTTGCTGTCCTAGGCCTCGGGGATTCCTCATATGCCAAGTGAGTAGGGGGTGGATTTGCTGGCCAGATGGGAACAGGTTTTATGGTTTTTCGAGACAGGGTTTCTCTGTGTGGCCCGGGCTGTCCTGGAACTCACTCTGTAGACCAGGCTGGCGTTGAACTCAGAAATCCGCCTGCCTCTGCCTCCCAAGTGCTGGGATTAAAGGCATGCGCCATCACTGCCTAGTGGGAACAATTTTTAAAGTCAAGGAAGAAATGAGGCAGGCAGCCAGGACCCAAGGTGCCCATCCACTGTAGACCATGTGGCCCTGTACTGTGTTGGCTCATCAACCTTATCCACAGATATTCCCTAGTGGGCACACTAATCTTTGTAAGGACTTGGCACAGAGGAAGCCACCACTGGGGAAGGAACAGGGTGGCAAAGTACCACCATGAAATTAAGGGCAAGGCTCAAACCAGCCAGCATTACATTACAACATCCAGTCTGTCCCTGTTCATCACTATGTTCCAAACATAGTCTGAAGTATTGGAAACTTGAAAAGAGCACTGAGGTGGACAGCTTACCTTCAGGTAGCTTGTTAGGCAGGCTCATGGATTCTCACTGTCAGCGTTTGTGGACAGTTATGACCCTAAACAAGCAGTGCTGTTTTAGTTTCGTTCATTTCCTGGGGTGATGCTGAGGGATTTCCACTCAAAGGTGCAAGTAGCTATCTAATACCTAAGACCTCTTTTCCACAGAGCCCAGTGTCATCTGGGGCCACTCCAGCCCCCTAAAAAGTTGTGTGCATGGCAGGGTTCTTAATTACTTTTGATAAAAAGAACAGAAAATGGGGCTAGAGAAGATGGCTCAGAGCAGTTGAGAGCACTGACTGCTCTTCCAAAGTCCTGAGTTCAATTTCCAGCAACCACATGGTGTCCAACAACCATCTGTAATGGGACCTGATACCTTCTTCTGGTGTGTCTGAAGACAGTGTACTCACATAAAATTAATTAAGTAAGTAATTAAAAAACAAAAACAACAGAAAACAAAAGCTGAGTATGGTGGCTCATTCACTTATAATCCTGTCACTCAGAAAGCTAATATGGGAAGATTGCCACAGACTCTAGGGTGGCACTGAATTTTACTAAACCAAAAAGAATAGAAAATAGGAAGATGGTGGTGGTGGGTCTTGCTCTGCTAGAGGTTTTGCTCACTGGCACTATGGATACACAGAGCAGATAGGCCGGAGTCCAACTATGGATGTGGTTCCCAAAAGGACAAGCTGATGCAAGGACCAGAGAGTCGTTTACAGACCAAAGAGGGGACATATTCTTACAGAAAAACATGGCTATCTGCTCTCCACCCCACCCCATCCCATCTCCAATAGCAGCTGTGGAGCCCTGGCTAGGGAATCCATGGTCTTGATCTCTTCAGAGATAAGGGTTGATGAAATGAGACTGTCTTTCACATGGTGCCTTCTTGAGATCAGGGGACCTACCATTTGTGGTTGTAGTTGTTGCTTCAGTCTCTTATCCCCTGCATGCTGAAGCCCCATCCCCCTCCTAGAATGCTGCCAATGTGCACCACTGAGGAAGTAACCCTTGAGGGAGGTCCTGCACTACTTTACTCTGCCCAAGAGATCAGCTACACTACCACTCCTTACTGTTGCTTAGTTCACACTCTGGGCCTGCCTTGCTGTCTCCACCCATAGATTCAACTTTGTGGCCAAGAAGCTGCATCGGAGGCTGCTGCAGCTAGGGGGCAGTGCTCTCCTGCCCCCATGTCTAGGTGATGACCAGCACGAGCTGGGGTAAGTGTTGGTGTCAGCGTCCCTCCATGATACCCCATCTTGACTCTGGCCCACAGAGACCAGTGCCTGTACCCTATCCTAGGCCTGATGCTGCCATTGACCCTTGGGTAGGAGACCTTTGGGAGAAGATAATGGTTATGTACCCAGTACCCCTCGATGTTCCTGAGATCCCTCATGGAGTCCCGTGAGTCTGAACCTTGAGTATATGAATATCAAGGGATTTTGAGCTGTTTTATCCCCCAGCGCACCCAACTTATAGTTCCACTTTCCACAGCTTGCCCTCCAAGTTCATCTTCCAGTTTCTTCAGGAGGTCCCCAGCACAGGGGCTGAGGAGCTGAACATAGCCAGCTCAGCCCCTCAGACACCCCCATCAGAGTTACAGCCCTTCTTGGCACCTGTGATCACCAACCAGAGGGTCACTGGCCCCCAACACTTTCAGGATGTTCGGCTGATTGAGTTTGATATTACAGACTCAAGTATCAGGTAAGGAGCCAAAGCCCTTAAGCGGTCCTGTCGGGTGCCCATGTGTTCCTAGGAAGCTGATGTGGTCAGGGAAAAGGTAGGGAACAGATAGAGCTTCAGAAGGGTATGCCAAAGCCAAAGACCAGGCAGCTCAGCAGCTCAGAGAGCTCGACCTCCAGACCTCTAGCCCGCCTCCGTCTGCTTAGTCCCTTCCTCCTCCCCCACAGTACACATCCCTTCTGTCCCCTCAGCTCCTCTGTCGTTTCCACGCCATCCCCACGTTTCTGGTGACTTTTTCATACAGTTTTGCTGCTGGTGATGTTGTATTAATTCTGCCCTCTAACTCAGAGGCTCACACCCAGCAGTTCTGCCAAATGTTGTGCCTGGACCCCAATCAGTTCTTCACACTTAAGCCGCGGGAGCCAGGTGAGTATAGGAAATGCAGTAGCTCTGAGGTCCAAGGTGCCACCTAATAACCCTACCCACCAAGCCTCCATGCCATTCCTGCAGGTGTCCCTTACCCACCTGGGCTGCCTCAGCCCTGCACTGTGTGGCACCTTGTGTCACAGTACTTGGACATTGCCAGCGTGCCCCGCCGTTCCTTCTTTGAGCTCTTGGCCTGTCTCTCTCCACATGCGCTGGAGCGGGAGAAGCTTCTGGAATTCAGCTCTGCCAGAGGTCAAGAAGAACTCTGGGAGTACTGTAATCGGCCCCGCAGAACCATCTTGGAGGTAGGCTTGTGGGCAGGCAGGTGGGTACAGGCCACTGAGCTGTGGTATGCACACCACCACACAATAAGACTCCATTTATCCAGGTGCTATGTGACTTTCCACACACAGCGAGTGCCATTCCTCCAGACTACCTTTTGGACCTAATCCCTCGGATCCGCCCACGGGCCTTCTCCATTGCTTCCTCCCTACTGGTGAGGGACTCTTGAGTAGAACTAAAGCCTGGCTGGGAAATCTTGGACTGGGTAGGGTCTTTGTAGATAGGGCCTGTCTCTACCGGGGACTGTCCCTCCTGGGGTTGGTAGCAGGCAGGAGTGCTTTAGCAGGGTAGAGCCCTCACTGTGCCCATAGGCTCATCCTAGGAGGCTACAGATCCTTGTGGCTGTGGTAAAGTACCAGACTCGCCTGAAGGAGCCCCGCCGTGGCCTCTGCTCCTCCTGGTTAGCATCTCTGAATCCTGAGCAAGGTAATCCATAGTTCTGGGGTTGGGAGAGAGTATAGGCTCAAGCTCCTGTCTTCCCCTGTTCCTTCTATCACAGGAGCTCGAGCCCCAGGGAGCTCCTCAGCATTGTCTTTTGACCGCTTACATGCCATCTCCCTTCTGCAGCAGGACCTGTCCGGGTGCCCCTGTGGGTACGGCCTGGGAGCCTAGTGTTCCCAGAAACACCAGACACACCCATTATCATGGTGGGGCCTGGAACTGGTGTGGCTCCCTTCCGAGCAGCCATTCAAGAACGAGTGGCCCATGGCCAGACTGGTGAGTACAGGAGTTCCAGAGCAGTGTGACCACTGAGACTGGTCTAGCTGAATTCCTGCATCCAGACAGGGCCACCCTGTGTTCCCCAGGAAACTTCTTGTTCTTTGGCTGCCGCCAGCGGGATCAGGACTTCTATTGGCAGACTGAATGGCAGGAGCTAGAGCAGAAGGGCTGCCTGACCCTGGTCACAGCCTTCTCCCGGGAGCAGGTGAGTATATTCAAGTTAGATAGGGCAGGAGTTGGGATGGCTGAAACTTAGCCTCTGACACCTGCAGGAACAGAAGGTATATGTGCAGCACCGGCTCAGAGAGCTGGGGCCACTTGTCTGGGAGCTGCTGGATGGCCAAGGTGCCTACTTCTACCTAGCGGGGTGAGCCAACTGTAGGGGAATGGACCAGCCTTCAGGGGAGCGGGGTAGTAGGGGTTGGAGCTCCAGGATCACTGAACTTTCTGAGGCCTGCCCCTCCAGCAATGCTAAGTATATGCCTACGGACGTTTCTGAAGCCCTGATGTCCATTTTTCAAGAAGAAGGACAACTCTCCACCGCAGACGCATCTGCCTACATTGCCAGGCTCCAACAGACATTGCGCTTCCAGACTGAGACCTGGGCCTGAGGAGCCACTTGCCAACTCACACCCACACTAACCAGCTACACTGGGGAGCCTGCTGGAGTCTAGAGGGCCCATTGATACCTCTTTTTTTGTTTAGTTTTGTTTTTTTTTTGTTTTTTGTTTTTGTTTTTTTTTAAGACAAGGTTTCTCTGTGTAGCCCTGGCTGTCCTGGAACTCACCCTGTAGACCAGGCTGGCCTCGAACTCAGAAATCCGCCTGCCTCTGCCTCCCAAGTGCTGGGACTAAAGACGTGCACCACCACTGCCCGGCTCCATTGTTACCTCTTGCCCTCTAATTCCAGAATACTGGTTAGACTCACAGTTTAGCTTTTTGGATCCAGCTGACCAGGAGGGCAGTCCTTGCATACAGCCAAACTCAGTGGACCCCAGTGTCCCATATGTGGCCCCAGCCCCAGTGCAGCCTGCACTCCTGTTGGCTCTCAGTTCTCTTCATTCTGCCCCAAATCTGCATTATGGTCCATACCACCAAGGGCCTGCTAAGCCCTCCAAGGGGCACAGAGCTATGTGAGGGCTCTACTGCCCTCTAACCTTGAGCTGTTCCCATTCATCCCACAGCACCTGTGCAACTCAGCTCAGTTGAAAAACCACCAGGGCCCAAGTCTCCTGAGCATTGAAACTGGGCAAATGATCTGTCTTCAGGTCCTTACACATGAGTAAACTGCCTGGGTAGCAGCTCACGCCTCCTTTTTTGCTTCTAGATTTGAGGGTGGTGGGTGGGATGTGAGTTATCTACATCTGCTAGTGGTGGGCAAAACCACCCTTCTAGGGCATGAGCACAGGATGTGTACACGTACCTCCTTGTCTGATACCTATGCTTGAGTCACACAACACCTGGATGTCTGATGTGTAAGTGCCTCTGTGTGTCTGTCCCCTTTGTGCTTAGAGGGCAGGTCTTGGCTGTCCTTAAGCTGACAGTTCAGCCAAGCTCATATCCCTTCTCTGATGGCCGCACAGAGAGGGCTTAGAGAGCTATTTGGAAGTTCCAGCCAAGAGCCAGAACACACTATTTCCAAAGAATCAGAAGAATGATCATGTGTGGGGGTGTGATTTGTATTGGTCCGCCCATGGGCAGGGCCTCCACCCCTGGAAAGAGAAACCCTGTTGGAGGAGTCAGACAGGTCTGAGGGCAGTTGGGAGCTAAGGAACCTCTGTTGTGTTCGTCAACTTCTGGAATAGAGACCAGACCTAGCCAACACCACTCTTAGGCCTGAGCTACCAGGAGTTGACATGCTGCAGGGACCCTAGTGAAGTTTACTTCCAGTGAGGTCTGCAAGCCAAAGGTGTATCTACAGGTTAGTGCTCCAGTGAGTGGGTGGAGGCCAAGCTCTGCCTGGCTCCTGCGGGGACACACTAACCTTCAGACCTGCAACAATCTCTGCCGTCACCCTGGAATCACAGTCTACGCATCCTGACTTCTCTTCTGGTGCCTCCACCCTGGGGTCTAATGACACCAGCTCTGTGTCTCCTAGTTCACCCTGTGCTTCTCTGGGTCCTGAGCTCTTGGACCCACTGTGCCAGCTACCAGCAGATGAAGAGGATGGTCTCAGGAACCCCCAAGGTGCCAGAACTGCAGACAGTAAACCTGAACTGGAGGCTAGAGACCCATCCAGTGCCTGGGCCTTGTCAACTGTGGAGGAGCAAGAAGAAGGTGAGAGGCAGGTTGAGGAGGAGGAGGAATGTCCTATCTGTGCTGAGCCTTACGGGCCTAGTGAGCACCACCTGACCTTGCTGAACTGTGGTCACAGCCTGTGTGTGGGCTGCCTGCACCAGGTGTTAGGCATGACCCCCAGAGCTGACCTAGGTCGCGTGTGCTGTCCACTGTGTCGTCAGAAGACACCCATGCTAGAGTGGGAGATCTGTCAGCTGCAGGAGGAACTGCTTCAAGCTGATGGACCCCAGCACCCAATGCCCACTGCATCTGTCACAGCCCTGCATCCTGGCCCTTGGCCCTGGGGGTCCTTAGAGCACCGCTACCACCTGCGCTTCCTGGCAGGGCCTGTGGGAGGGCGGAGCTGTCTCCCCTTCCTGCCCTGCCCTCCCAGCCTAGGTGCCTGGTTGTGGACACTGCGGGAACGTGGCCCCTGTGCCCGACGCTTGTCACTGCTGAGCCTGCTGATACTTGAACTACTAGGGCTGGTGGTCATCTTCATGCCACTCATGTTACTAGGGGTGCTCTTCATGTTGCTAGACCGTTCCAACCACTAACAGAGCCCAGGATGTTGGCTAAGCTTTGAAGTCCATGCTCAGATTCTGGTAATCAGCAAAGACTTGATATCGCCAATACCAAGACCTTAGAGCCTGAGCCAGCCAGAGTGCTTACACACCCTTGCAGCCTAGATACTGGCTAAAGCCAAGGACACAAGGACAGCCTGTCGAAGGAGCTCGGCCTGGCAGGAGGAGCTGTGGAAAGAACCCTATGTGCTTGCCATGGACAGAGACTTAACTAGCCACAGGCAGAAGCTGGGCTATACTGTCAGCTCGTAGTCTAGCTGGTAAGGGTGAACACATATGTGTGATTCTAGCAGTGATTATAGAAGAAAGCAAGGGCTGCTGAGACTCTCGCCTGCTCTAGACAGAAGCTGGTGTGTGTCCCTGAAGGCCACAGCAGCCACCAGGAGAGGCCTGCACTGCACAAACCAGCCTTCAAAAGCTCCCCACCCAACCTAAGATAATCTCACCAGAGAAGGTAGCCCAGAGCAGCGGGGATAAATATTGCCTTTGTATTGTAAGGGCCAAGGGCCCATCCAGACTCTGACACCTCCAAATGCCCAAGGTCCAACTCTGTTCCTAATTGACTCTATAATTCATGTCACTGGACCAGGAGCCCTCACTTGAGAAATGCAGACAAAATGTAAGCTCTCTTCATAGCTCATTGGTGACACAGTGTAGGCTGTAACGTTTCAGGAGTGCTGTGTAAGAAGCATAAGAAAGGCTCTCAATAAACAGTCGTCACTGACATTGTCGTTACCACAGCCATCCTCATTATCTCTGCCATCCAGGCACTCTCCTCACAACTCTTCAATGGAACCTGTTCCAGTCACAGGCAGACCAGTGCCATTTAAAAGACCTTGATCTTAGCCAGCTGTAAGCCTCTGCATATGCTGTTCAAAGACCATTTCTATGCATTCTTGGCCAGAGAAGGGTACTTTTTTTTTTTTTTGGACAGGATCTCTCTGTGCAATCCATGCTGACTTCACAATCCTCCTGCCTTAGCTTCCAGAGTGCTGGGACTACCAATGCACTTCACCACACACAGCTAAAAGTTGTGTCCGCCTAGCTGGGCCAAATCCCTGTGTACTGCACATTAGCAGTCCTCTGCACCAGTATGTTCACAGCTAGTCCCAGAGCTGAGCAGCATGCTTGGCCCAGCTTGGCCTTCAACAAGCAGAGCAGGCCAACCTTAAATGTAGCTGGGTCGCCCTCTGACAGCTCCTGGTTAGACCATGTTTGGACTATATAGCCTTGGGAACCTACCCAAGGCCCAGGTGTGGGCATAGCCCACAGGAATTAGCTTCAATCAGTGAACAAGTGCAAACTTTGGCAAAGAGTTTTAATGGCAAAGTTGGCTGCAGCGACAATGCCACGCAGGGTAGGGCCAGAAGCCACAGTGGGCAAGAAAGGGTCAGCGGGCAACAGGACAAAGCCAGTTCCCTGAAGAAGCGGCAAGCAAGGGCCTGCAGGCAGTAGTGGGCAGGTGGACACTACATGATGGAACAGGCAGATAGTGGGTTCCGCACATGGCAGGTGCATGCAGCCCCACAGTACTGCCGGAAGGTCTGGTAGCAGCTGCCTTCAGACTCACCCCCCCACTGGCCACCCGATGGAGCAGTCAGGGCTTCAGGTGGCAAACGGCTCAGGATGGATGTGTTGACAGCCAGTGCAGCCAGGCCATAGTCAGTGAAGAGCACAGTCTCACGGTGGCAGGTGGGGCAGGAGATGAACTTGTACTTAGGGCAAGACTCATAAAGAATCTGCAGGCACTGCTCACACACAGAGTGCAGGCAAGACAGCACACGGGGCCGCCGCTGAGTGACGTTGTATGTGTGCCCACAGGTGGGGCATTCCAGGGGCTCACCTGCTATCACTGGCCCAGATGATGAAGGTGCAGAGGCTGTTGGGCCAGGTCGAATCACATACTGATTTACAATGACCTCATCCACTGGTGCCACCCGGGGGAAGCCCAACTCAGAACTGCCCTTGCGGGGCCGCCTTGGCAAGGGTGGTGTGTGGGATGCTCCTTCCAAGGTAGGCATGTCCCCCCCACATGCCTGGTTGACAATGATCTCTGTGTCTGAGGGCCAAGCACGCTTGGGTGCCAGAGTGGGAGTGGGCCTGGGTACAGGTGGGAAGCAGGGGGTGGCCGCTGGAAGCTCAGGGAACTTTTCAGGATGGACAATCTTCATGGCCTCCATTTTGAGGATGACATGGGGGCCTTTCAGGCAGGACATGAGGAGGCCCGGCCATCCACTGCCCACCTCAGACCCAGGGTCAGCTGGCATCCGGCTCTCTACAGTCAGACTGGACGTTGGCACAGGTGGGGGTGTTGGGTGGGGCCGTGGGGGAAGAGAAGGGGCTGCATCCTGGTCCTGCCAGGCCTGGTGAGGACCACGGTTACTCCGTGGACTACAAGGGGCAGCCGGTGACAGCTTGGAGGGCAGCCCCCCTCCCAGAGGCCACAATGGCTTAGCTGGTTCAGTCCGAGGAGGAGGGGGAGGGGGAAGCAGGCGGTGGCAAGGGGGTATGGGAGGCTGTTTTGGGCTGTGGGGCTCACCCAGGGTCTCTGTCTGCTGAGGCTGGCAAGGGGGCGTGGAGGGGCCTCCTCCTGTAGCAGAGGTCAGCAGTCCCTGGGCCGGGACATCTGGGCAGGCAGGGGCTAGGTGGGCCCCATGGTTCCAGGACAGGGCGCCCAGGGAAGGCAGCTAGCCTGATCCCTGGCTGCCGGAGGACCTGGGCTGCAGGCTCCGCAGCAACAGCGATGAAGAGGCCTGCACCAGGCCCAAGCTGCGGATGAGAGATAGCGTGAGGGCAGCACCGGGCTCACCTCACTCTCGCCCTCGACCCCATCCTACACAAAGGACAGGGTGTCCGACCTCTGACCCTGACCTCATCCGTGGGATCCATGTCTCCCCGGAACTCTGAACGCAACCCCCTCCCCGGTATACTCTCCGAGGCCAGACTCACTGTTCGGAGGACAGACTATGAAAATGGAAAGGGATGATGTGTCTGTCCCCCCTCCCGCCCCTCCCCCCCCCCCCCCCCCCCCCCCCCCCCCACACCGCGCTTACCTGCCCCAGCCTGGCGTTCCCCGGCTGCGCCGCCGCCGCAGCAGAGGTTGTCTCAAACGCAGGCCCGGATGTGGCGCTCACACCTTGGCTCTCCTGTTGTAGTGGCTCCGATAGCTCTCGCAGCTCCAGGGGAGACCTCGGGCGATGGCGGGCGCAGGCTGCACCCAGGGGCGCGAGCACTGGTGCTGGACGCAAGGCTCGGCGCGGTGGCGGCGACAGCGGCGACGGCGGCGGCGGCAGGTGCGTGCGGAGCGTGGCGCGTTCTGCGGCGGAGGCGCGGGGACCGCAGTGCGCGCGGCGCCCGCCCGCGCCCGCAGCGCCACCCCCCGTCTGGGGACCCGCGCGGGGTCCACGGGGCGGGGCTAGTCTCCAAGCCGCCCCTCGATC